GGCCGACCGCCCTAGCACCTACGCCTACTGGCGGATGCGTATTCATGCTGTGGTGTGCCCTATGGGTACATATGAAGTAAGCGCAGCCGGACCGGATTTCAATTCATGTTCAACACCGTTCAAAAGGCTTCCAGATACCTTAGAGGCCATCTGAGATCCCCTTGTAGGACGGGATTAAACATGCTTGGCAGACAAACTGAAATTGTCACAAAGGCGCAGAGTGTCATTGAGGATTCAACCTTTTTGCCTTTGCCTTTGTACTGTATAGGTTACTTTTAATTATATTACATGTCTCGAAGACATGCGTGCCTGCACCCCATCAAAAGTGCCTGAAGTGTGTGTCGATGTAGGCAAGCCAGGCCTTGAGCCGTAGCTCAGAATCATTAGTTGGGAGTTCTTTTTCTGACAATGATTAGCCTTCATATACCAGGAGAAACTGGTCAAGCGACGTTATGGAGCAATCACGAATGATCAATGCGGCTTTATTGATAAAGCTCCACGTTTCGAGCTGTGATCATGACTACGAGTATTTTCTCATGCTATGAGCACACTTTGAAAGGTCAGGTTTGGTCATACAGCAATGCTTACTTAATAACGTCCGTTTGACTAACCCTTTCGGCACATTGAATACGATCTTTTGTCGTAATACCACTAACACGTGGTGATTTTATAACTCCTTGATCGCTGTTTCGACTTGTCAGGGAATTAAACTGCCGAGTGCAGGTCATAAAAAACAAGATAACAGCATTTCCGTCGAAATGCGGAACGTAAGTGCTTTCCTTTAGCCATTTATGGTGGAATGACAGTTGTAATAATGTGCCCTCTAGCAGCATAATATATGATTTTTAATTATTGGATCGCCATCAGTGGTATACAAATGATCTATCGACTCAACTTCTCGCCAGTTTTCACAACTTGTCGGATTTTCCGTTGCCGTCAAAAAAATTAATGCCAACACGGGAAAATATCGGATATTACCACACCTCCTCGCTGAGCAAGGATTGACATGAATAGAGATAGGGAAGGCGACGGCGAGAGAGAGAAAGACAGAGAGAAAAAGATATAGAGAGAGAGAGAGAGAGAGGAAGAGAGAGAGAAGAGGAGAGAGAGAGAGAAGAGAGAGAGAGAGAGAGAGAGGAGAAGAGAGAGAGAGAGAGAGAGAGAGAGAGAGAGGGAGAGACTGCCGGTCGTGATGACCTGCTCTGTGCGTTTGCTGACGTCCTGCCACTGCCCTAACTCACATTCTCTCGGCCAGTACACCAGTGGTTCAGGAGCGGTGCGCGTGGGTGGACGACTCCCGCCTCGGTCGCCGCTCTTCCGCTGCCACCCACGGCCAAGGTAAGAATTGTACGTAGCTCCACGCGTTTGAAACAGAGCGGATTGTGCGCAGTCGCTTTGCACTGCTGCTGCTCTATAGGCCCATTTACGTCTCATGGGAAAGAAAGCGCAGAATCGTCTGAAAGCGAACACGTCCGCAAAGCCATTGGTGTGCCATCCTCCAATCCAACATGTTGGTTTTGCCTGCCCATCATTACGATGGCAGCCATTGGATGTTCACAGGGAGAGACTTGCCGTGTCTGGAGGTGCACTGTTGCCATGACGACTATTGTCTTCGCAACGGCCATTTGGTATTGTTATAGAGGTTGCTTGCCGTCCGAAGGAAATGAATGCTAGTGCCCAGTTGAGAATAATTGGTAGTTAAGCCCAAAGATGGTCAAGGGTTTCTCCGGGTCGCCCTTAACGATGACTGTGTGACCCTTTACCGGCACCGGCATCCTATTATTTGCATTAATGATGCACTGAGTGTCTTCCATGATACCAGCAGCCAGAATGATTGCTCATTAACCGTTGACGTCATTTTTCAACCTGCCTCCAACCTTGTGTTGTTCGAAATGCAATGCTGTATGTTGGTCTCACCGTCATCAGGCTACAGCGTAATCGTTACACGCGCTCTGCTGTCCCATTCGGTCTGCTGCTTGGTCTACTGCCCGTATTGCTTAATAATAACGCCTGGTAAGTAACACCTACCTCGGTTCGGTGCGCCGTTCATACGTTCCGTTCCGCCCCAGTGAGGCCCCCGGAGGAGACGGCTGGGCATTGACTGTGTTCCAGGCAGGCATTTCCAGCAGCGTGGTGGGCGCAACGCTCACTAAAGACAGAACAAAAATATAAATAAGTGGTGCGATGTTTGACCTCACCCTTCAATGCAAACGCATCGATGCATGCCGGTTGGTAGCAACACTTCGACGGCAAATCCGACTGTTGATAAGCGATGTCTTTATCGCAGTTCCTCTGAGAACAGTGGAGTTCTCCCTGGTCATCGACTCCACTGCCGAGTCGATACACTGCTGCGTACACAAGGTCAAGGTGAATCTCGCCCTCGGGATATGTGGCATGCCACTTTCTAACATCGCCTGCCCAGCCTGACCTGCCCAGTCTGACCTGCCCAGTCCGACCTGCCCAGTCTGACCTGGCTACTCAGCTGTCCTGAATGCGGGTTGCGGAGCTCGCCTACCTCAGAGGCATTCGGCGTTATGATGCATTATTTGCATTTGTTTGTATGGTGCATTATCGTGCATTATCTGCATTTATGGTGCATTATTTTGCATTGACTGGGACGGAGCGTGGTACCTATTTCTCATATCATTAGTGTCAGACCTAGCGGAGCTTGAAATCCATTTCAGCATTCAGTTGCATTTCAGCTTCGGTTGTGACATGAATGTAGCCTGGGATGCGCAACAATGCTATGTGATGGATCCTAACGGCCCCTTGCGTAATGCGTAACCTATCCTACAATAACGCTTAACAATAATATTTAAAGGTCCTAACGAGCTATGTCTTATACTGTACATCTGGGCAAGTAGTTTGTTTTTTAGCGTAGGGTCGCCAAGAGGCATATATGTCTGTTCCCTCACGACGATTGTACTGAGACAATAGCGCTGTTTTCCCGTCTGGTCGGCAGGGTTTGCGCTCCTCAGTCGGCGCCGAGACTATCAACAGCTACGTCAAGCTCCACATCGTCCCGGGTTTGCTGAAGGTATACTAAAGTCTGGCAAGCTGTACCTTTTAGCGGTATTTGAGATGCCTGCACTATGTCTGGAACATTGAAACGCCAGACTTAATGCAACATACTCTGATGTATCAAGATGCGTTGGTCGGTCGAAATTACACATATTCCTGCACGACCTCCACCCATGTCGAGATCTCGAAGTAAACGTTCGCCTACGTTTTAGTTTCATAAGGTGTAGACGGGATGCTAGCGTGGTCGTGCCGCTTTTTGTCACACGTGCCTCACGTGTGACACGCGTCCCGCGTGTCCGTGTTACAACACATCCCGTATTTCAGGGTAGTGTTTAGCGCCTTTGGTGATGATGTAAAGGGCTCGAAAGCTCCCTCAGCTTGCAAGTTTGCTCACTTCATCGCGAACTCTCCCAAGAAGACCGGAGTTTAAATTGCCTCATAGCATCGCCTCAGATGCATTGCGCTGAGCAAGGTTACGGAGTTCATATGATTGGAATGCATAGCGCTCACCCAAGAAGGATAACCGTTGCCTCAAGCTTGTATTCAACCTGCATGCTTTAAAGGGTTGCAAATCGAAAGCATTTCGCATCGCAATGTATTCGAACGCAATCATCAACTCATTTAAATGCATTCTCGCCGTCCAAATGTATGCCTTCACATCTCTGTACATTCGCATCAAATATGTTTCCACAGGGTGCATAGTACATGCGTTTGTTTCTTTCCAGCCCGACAGTCACGTGCATTTTCCGGCTTCAGATGCGTGCATTTTGTCAAAAAGACGACAATCATTAAAGGGAACGTCATGGCCAAGTGGTTGACGCATAACACTTCCACGTGGAGGCTTGAGTTCGAATCCCGGTTATGTCATGGCTCGGACCGATAGTGGAGTCGGTCCTCCACACAGGAGCGCGTGGCAATGTGCGTCGCGTTCTTTTTAACCAGATTTTCGGTGTCACGTGCCGTGTTTTATGTCTTCAATGCAAGCATTATTGTAGAGTTAGTGAAGCTCGAAGATGAACTAGCCACCGAATTTGTGCTAAAGCCTTTTGTGATTAGCACCACTGCAGAACAATTCTAATGTCCCTCGAAAGTGCGAAAATCGTTTCTTAATCCTCACTTGAAGTTTTATGTCCTCAATTACGTTCAGCTGACGCTTTAAACTTAAAGGTAGTTTAAGATCCCAAAGTGCGGCTCCGTTCCAAATCTGGTCGTGGCTTGACGCGCCTGTTCAAGTTTGAGTTTGGCTGAGTTGGTCAAGGGCCCCCCCTTGACCAACTCAGCCAAACGGGATAGGGAACGGGGGGGGGGGGGGCGGGATAAACAGCGAAAATGACGAAAGCTTCCTGTGAAATATTCCAGCAAATGCATTGCTCCCCAGGTTTGGTTCAGTTTCTTCTTAAAGTAGGGGGACCAGAATCCTATTTGGGGGCTAAAGCCCTTTCCCCTCTCTCCTCCAGCCGAATGGGAAACTATCCTATGAAGCATAACAACTGAGAGAAGAAGATACATACTTCCTTGTGGCACAACTGGCGACTGTAAAATGCTCGTGAATCGATTGTCCACGTCAAGTAATTGTGAAGAGCTTTTAAAGTCCAGTGAAATGTATGGAAACCTACGAGGAAAGTACCCGCCATGTTTATTCCGAATCATTGACAGTTCTTGCAACAGAAACATCACACCACTCGTCACATGTGGTGGCGAGTGTCAGAGAAGTAAACAAGTGGGCTACATGTTTTCATGTGAACAGGAGTGAAACGTGTCGCAGTCATAGTTCCTTAACTTCGTCGAAGTAAATGGCCGGTGTCTCTTCTGGGGATTGACGTTGCCTTAGATAAAAACTCTCTTTGGCTGGTCCCTAAGACTGTGAGCCAATACAGTGGGGGACGTCGACCGGTTTAGTAGGAGTTACTCACGTTGCAGCTGGACAGCTTGAATGTCCACCAGCATCGGTGATTAGTAGCACGGATGAAGTGGAAATGTTCCCGAAATTATTTTTGCGTTTGAAGGTAGAGTTCCACCTTTGTATGAGTTTGTTCTTAGTATTATTTTTATTGCGAATCTTGGTGAAATCTAGCGAGTGGCTATTCTAACGCCGCGTCAGTACATGTCACATAGATAAACACAAGACACGCAACACATGCAAATGGGACGCAACGCCAGCGATACACATGCGATGTTATAAAACATGAACGACTAATGATACAATGAGCACCTGCACGTCATGCCCAGTTGGTCAACTTAGGTAAGTTCCCTGATGAAAGACATTGCTTTGCCCTTGAGCTCATTTAAGCTTTTACACTGGGGCGTGGCAGCAGGGAGGCGATTCCACACCGCCACGGCTCGATAGGGGAATGCCCTTTTCACGCACGCTAAGCGAGGGTGTTTTGCAGCGGTGGTCTGCGGTACACTTTCGCCATCGGTGGCTCTGGTGTGCCGCTGAGATAGTTCAGATCGGCGCCTGATCAGGGTACTGACAGCCCATCATAGCCCACTGATAGCCCGTGCCCATAAGGCATGTTGATGGCGCGATGCAAACATATGCAGTCGCGGTGAGTGACGGTTTCGTCGAAATTGGGTCATTTAAAAAACTGAAATAGCCATCTTTAAGACCGTTCGGTACAGTTCACAGCCCTGCCCTTCTTGAGGCTTAAACCGTTTTAATTTCTGAGCTGCACGCCTGCGAATATGTGCAGATTATTTCGAGGAGACTATTTTAAGATCACTAAGGCATTAATGCCACTATAAGAACATCATTTAAATCCTGTTATTCAGTTGTCCATGCGGTAATCAAGGCCAATACAAATAAGCTGCCAAGATGCCGACTTATTTTTATCTGGCGTTAGTGAGCACGATTTCCAGGTTTAATTCCCGCGAGTTGTCTCTCAATCAGTGTTGTGCAAGGCACGATGACGTAATAAAAAAATGAGGTGTTGAGAAGCACACTTGCTTAACAGTGATAGTGTGTTGTCTAGAGCAGCCTTTTCTACTTAAAAGTACACCAATAGCTACAAGTAAGCTTATTTCATCATGACTGATCATTGCTTCAATGTCTTCAAATGATAAACCTTCACTTCACTTCACTTCAGGGTTTACAATTGTCAGCTCTCGCGCGGGTATCCACGTACCATGCACGCAACGCCTGCGCGACCGCGCTGAGTTCGCTCTGCCGACCCTTCAGACCAACAAACTGCGGACGAAGGTGGTGTCCGGCTCGGGTGACGCTGAGTTCGACGAGACTCTCACCTACTTTAACGTGTCGGCCGACGTGGTGGTGAACAGCTCCCTGCGCCTTTCAGTGCTCGGTAAGGCTGGTCTATTCATTGACCCGTCCATAGGACGAGCTGCTCGGGGCAGCCCGTGGCCTTCATGGTCGCAGCAGGCATCATCCGCCGCCATTGATGGGCCTGGATCTGAATGGACCGGAACCAGCGTGCCAATACAAAATGCGTGTTGTGTGTTCGGGAATAAAACATGCATCACTTGTGGTCTAACCCCACACGGAGGCCAATGTATCGACAGGCTTATAGTGTATGTCTTACACATGAACCTGAAACGGAAGCAATGGGCTATGCTCTTGGCTAATATTCCTTGTATTTTCACACTTGCTGCGGTATCCGCACACCATGTGGTGAAAATATAAACTCAATCATTCTGAATGGGGCTATGCTTCTCGGTTCAGGGTCCATCTTCATGGACAGCCCTATGCAGCAGCACTCTTTTCACACCGAAAAATGACAGGGTCTAAACCGGACCGCGGTGATCCATCAGTCGACGCATATTAATGGTCCAAACATGCTTCGCCCTGTATTTCTAAGCAAACTTTATTCCAGCATCCTATTCATCGTTTAACCAAAGGTTCGGGACCCGAAGGGGATCTCCACTGTCAAGTGATGGATTTGCCCGCCTGGCGTGTTGGTACAGCGGGACGCTTCCCAGGCCTCCGTCCGCCCACGGCGTGTGACCAGCACAACAACTCTGCCAGGACGGAGACGGCAGAAAGCCTCCCACGGGCGGAGATGTAGATAGACATGATGAAGAGCACTAAGCTCTAAGGGATTTTTTTTTTGGGGGGACGTCACAGCGCTATACTTTGCTGATCAACCCTCATAGCGCATGATGGACGTCGTCGAAATGTTGACACTGCATCTTATTATTAACCTCTGCAGTCTTTTCCACGTCTTTTCCGTGCGAAGCTGCCAGATCCCAAAAAAGTTGCAACTGGTGACTGGTGTACAATGTACACAATGAGCATTTCGAGTTCGCGTTTGCGGAAAACATGTTCAGATGATGCGGGAAAGCTGAAACCTTGCAAAGACACGGTATAACGACATGTAGCCACCACATGCATACATAGCACCACTGGATTCAAGCAGCAGGCTAACCGGCCACGCCCGTACAGATGATGACAAAGGAATACCTTTTCCTTATTTTGGGCTTAGTTTTCTGCTAGTTTAAATGTCCCGCGGTGCTCAACGCCACGTCTGCAGAAATACTCGGACACGCTCAGTCAGAAAAATGTCATTTTCTAAGCAAGTACGTCAGTAGTAAGTTATGGCAGCCAACATGCTGGCTTCACCAAAGTTAGTCCAAGCCTCGGTGAAGCAAGTCACCTGATTCTATGAACGTTTCAGAGGTGTTGCTGTCGTTCACACAATAGCGACTCAAGTGGTGCGTGACTGACTGCGAAGAGACCAGCAGTAACAGGTGCGCGGTTGCCTGCAGACGAGGATCCGTACGGTCACGACGTGCTGGGAGAGACGCAGCTTCGGCTATCCGAAGTGACGCCTCATCGGCTGCTGCAGTTCTGCAAGACGCTGACGCCCGTCTGTGAGGTACAGGTTCGGGGTCGATGGGCCCCTCATTTCCGTTTGCTACTCGGGCACTCAGCTGTGAAATGCAGGTCCTGACGCAGCGCAAGGCTGCGTCAGGTCAGATTTGGGAGACTTCAAAGCTTTGAGCTCGTGGAAAATTTGCTCTGCAACATTCTGGCTGGACGACATGGATTTGTTTTGCCCTCAAACCGTTTAAAGTCTGCCAGACATGTAGCCAACCGTGATTCCACAACGCCCCTTCACTGTATTTTTGGTGTTCGCTGAAGATTAACACCAGTGAGCAGCCCACAGTGAAACCCATGCTGCTATTATGCCTGAATATGCCTGCCATGCCTGCTATCCCTGTTATGCCTGGGTAGAGCTAGATTTCTAAAATATGACTTCCTGTTCATGGAAATCCAGACATCTGCGCGCTAAAGAATATCGTCACTTTAGCGGACCAGGTGCTTTGTCCTTCAGGTATTACGGACGGAAAGCAACATTGTAAAGTACAGCATTCGCTCGAACTATGTGTTCGTTCCATTGCAATAGCTAGCTAGTGACCATGAACACAAGACATTCCGCGCCGTCCTCCTGTCAGGCGCCGCGAAAAATTGCCATTTGTATGCATTTACAAGCAGCTGAAGTTCTGGGCGCAGCCTGAGTTACGCTTTCCTGCCGACGCCATACATCATTCCGCCCCGCTTGATTGCATATACCACGCGGTCAATTGCGATGCAAAGCATGCCGTGCGCGGATTGCACCCGAGCCATATATCGGTGGCTGAAGCCGGTCAGGTCGCTTCACCAGCCGCTGAAAACACTTGCATTTTTTAGGGCGCATATGACGACTGCGCCGAGCTGCCCCAGGGCCGGATATTGTTGTCACTGAAATACGTGACGTCACGGCAAACTCTGGTGGTGGGCGTGGTGCGGTGCGCAGAGCTGCCCGCCCTCGACGGCAACGGCATCCCAGACCCCTTCGTCAAAGTGTGAGTTGCTTCAAGGCGTGACCCCGAGTTGCGGTAAGTTTTGATGCCCTGGACGGGTCAGTGGCCAGCCCGTTCGAAAGCTGCAGCTGGGATTGGGATCAATAACTTTCGGAGTTGACAAGTACATGAGGCGTGCTGCCCGCAAGACGCCAGTCGCTTTATGTCATTGGGAGCTTCATGAAAGATCATGGGATCCGGGGGGCGGGGCGGGGGAAATATTAGATGTGCCACTTTGCTCAAGCCGCGTAGTGGAGAGCCTCTGAAAATTGCGCACAGTGGAGGAGAGGGGGGGGGGGGGGGGGGGGGGGCGGGTGGCGGATCTCACCCTCTCCTACCATCTCGAGAACCGTAAGAGATAGAGTAACGAAACTCCGATCGTATGTGGAAGCTACATGGAACTACGTTGTGTGAAAAGGCATGACCCTAGAACAATATATTAAGATGTCAAATGATGTCAGACATGTCAATTTTTGCATGTTTTTGCATGGCTTGGACTGTCATCTTCGTGAATCGCTGCGAATACGATGCAATGAAAATGTACCGTGTACCCCAATCTATGACGGATGTCAAGGAGTGCATTTTCCGAGGACAGAACCGCAAGAGTGCTCACAAGTTTTGCAAGTATGTACTGACCATTGCTAACCAATTTGTGCACATTCAAAAGTTGTTGTCATGAGGGCTGACCTGATACTCGTAATGCAGAATCGTTATAAGCTCAGATGGCTTTTTTAGACGATGTTCTCGGCTTTGATATACTTCTTAATTCATGTAAAGCTAAAACAGATTGCTTGAGAAACGTCAATGTCCCATTGAGGCTTTACGACGCATTAGCTGCTGAGGCTATGTGGCGTCGCCTGCCTTTCACCCTGGAAGGAGGGGCGGGCACCGCTGGGAATAGAACCCGTGCCTCTGCCTTCTCAGGCGCGCAGTGGTTAGCGCAGACGCGATAACCACCATGGTGCTGGTAGTGTAGTAGTTAACGCAGACACTTCAAACACTACACTACCGGCACACCCTTGAGAAACATCGGCAATGTACGTCTTGACTAGTAAGGCTTTATCATCAGACACTGCGGGAAACACTATGGCCACTTGCGCAGCATGCGCGGTGTCAGTGCAATAGCTGATGATGCTGGCAAACAAGCTGGCACTTTCTCAGGGCATACAAGGGTGCTCACCTCACTGCTGTTTGCACCTTCAGACTGCATGACTGCAGACTGCTGTGATGCCGACCTAGTTTGGCCCCATTGCTTATCATGAACTTGACCTGAATTGACTTCGCTGACCCAACATGACCTTTGCATTATAACATATGGCAATGTGCATACAAACAGTCATGGCTGTCAGGAATATTTAATTGCTACAGATATACCGGAAGTGCATCAGCAGCCATTCTCACGCTCAGACGGTGGCTACGTTGTTGGTTCTGTCTACCTGTAATATCACAATTTTCTAGTCGATTTTCTTCTTCCTTGCTTTAAACGTCGCGCTAGGGTTAAATTTGTGGGTAGACAAGAAAATGTACAGATCTGCGCATTCACACCGGAGAAACTCATGAAAAATAGTCGGATAGTTCCTACTGCTCCCTGCGTGCTTTAAGTAGCGCTGGCCACTGACCGGCTAAAGCGAATGAAATGATCGCTTACAGTTCCACGTGAGGCCTTCAATGTTCTCCAACGAAGGCGCTAGTTTCCCGACAAGGCCATTATCACGCGCTGATGTTTAATGGCTTTGCACGAGCGCTTTACAATATCTTCAGTTTCGTTTCTCCAGCAGGCTTGGGAAAAATTATTCATCATTTCCGACAACTTGTGTTGAGCGACTTTGCGCACACGTAACCGGCTGCATTTCCCGGACTCTAAAGAAGTACCGCGTCGTCGCTGCTGAACGTTCCCACGAAGTGCTCCCCGCGATAGCTGAACGCATGACCATGACCTTCCATGTCTGCTCACTGACCACGATCGTCTAAATCCCCTCCCAGTCGAGCATTAGCTGTGTGTGAGGTGTTTGTCGAGCGATTTGTCACCCGACGGGACGTGTCGCTCTGTACGCCAGTCATGCCAGAGCGAACGCTAACTATCCCGGCGGCACCCACAGACAACTGCGGCCGAGGGGGGCCAAGTACAAAACAGGCATCCGCTGGAAGAGCCCCAGCCCCAAGTTCAACGAGGAGTTCAACTTTGCCTGTCGTCGCTGTGATCTGCCCCGCCGCGTCCTCGACCTTCGCGTCTACGACAAGGATATCAGCAAGAGCAACGATTTCATCGGTATGCTCTGCGCTGAGGGCAATCTCTACGCGAGACTATCTCCTACCCGCTCTATGCAGCAGAAAACACGCACTAATTAGTGCAATTAGTGTGTCCGAAAGGATGCCTACCGGGTCATATTCCGAGCTCTCAAGTATTTACGTTATAAAATGCAAGACTTCAATCACGGAGCAAATCCTAGGATCCAAACTATTCCGATCGTTCGCCGCTCGATCCAAGAGTTCACGCGGCGCTCCGCCATGGAAGCAGCCCGAGAAGGGAACACATCACCACCAACCAATCAGGGGAAATGTAACAAATCCCGCCTGGCGTTCGGTAAGCTGACGAGGTCTGTGGACAAATGCCACAAAAACGCTTCCCAGTATGTCTTTGTCTTCGCCAGGCTCGTTATTGTTGTGCATGCGTGTCAACGCATATGCGATTTGTCTCACGTTTCTTTATACTCCCCATGGGGGCGACCACGTGAGACGTAAACACATATAACAGGGATCAAGCTTCCCATTCAGCTGGGGGAGCTTAGCCCCTTCCCCTCAACTTTGAGAAGAAAGCTGGACATATTTGAGGAACAATCCGTTTATTCCTGTAATTTGAGAGGGGTTAAGGCTCGTTTTTATTCCTCTAAATTTTGGGGCGGAGAACAGAGAAAAATGCCTTAATCTAATTTTTCCCAAGTTGGAAGCTAGGCGTCGAAGAGCAAATCCCACTGTCGATTGCGGTAACGGATAAAAAATTGTGAAATGACGTCGTCATACAAGGCACTTACATACCAAATACATCAATGTGCTCGATGAACAGAAAATATATGCATCTTTGCAAGCCTATTCCGATTTGTAATCTCAAGTTTCTGCAAAATACGACGGTGAACGTAGGATAACACGTGATGACCATTGACACAGGGCAAGTGAAAATGGCAATTGCACCTGAGAAATAAAAGTTGTCGCGTTGTCGTGCTCGCGCTACAAAGTCATAACAGTTTTATTTTTCTCTGAAAAATATATTTTGTCCACTGGTAATAGTAAGTAGTAAAAACTTGTAGGGTAATGTACATCACTTTAACATCCATAGGTTGGCAGACAGTTGGTGATGTTTAAATCACCTCCAAATCGAGCCTTAATATCTAGGCACGGAGGCATAGATATAAAATTGGCATTTTGCAGCCCTAGCATCATCATACTAGCTTTGTAGCCGTTTAGTCCTGTCGATGTGAGGTAACTTCGTTGCGATGAAAATTGTGAACATGGGCACCTTGGTAAAAATCTTTCCGGAGACTATTTTTCCTGCTCGCTAGAATAGGAAAATGTTAGAATAGGAAGATTTGCCAGGACCCGACAATGAAGTGGGAAGCATCTGGCTTCATCCGAATTTTTCCTTATCCCCAATCGTGCGTATTAATGCGTACACTTCACCATGGTGCAAAGCGCTGTAAATACGCTATTTGCCCTTGTTGAAGTCTGAAGGTGAAACGTAGCAGGAGTCTGAAAGTGATGCTCTGCAGACGGAAGACGACTGGAGAGCGAGCAGCTGCAAAAATAATAATAAATAGGGCACGAGTTGCAAGAAACTGCTCCTAATTGCGTTTGGAACCTTTGGAGCTTTGCTATGCTATATGCTAAAACAGCTATGGAGCTGTTTCATACAACTACCAGCCTAACCTATCTGTTTTTCCTTGATGTCGGGGCCAATCTCAGATGTCTCATCTTTCTCGAACCAAAACACGTTAGCTGTTAAGTTTTTACAACAGAGCCTTCATCAGAGAATCCCCTGACTTTGCTGTAAATGAAGCCGTGAGATCACCCAATGGATCACTGCACGTAGGACATGGGAGCCATTCAACCTTGTTATGCGCCGCATACCGAGCGCCCGTCTCCCATGTACGTTATAGTTGGCCTCCCCGAGTGCGTCTAACGCCGTTGCCTGGTCCACCGACAGGCGGCCTGAGTCTGAGCGCCCGTCTCCCATGTACGTTATAGTTGGCCTCCCCGGGTGCGTCTAACGCCGTTGCCTGGTCCACCGACAGGCGGCCTGAGTCTGAGCGCCCGTCTCCCATGTACGTTATAGTTGGCCTCCCCGAGTGCGTCTAACGCCGTTGCCTGGTCCACCGACAGGCGGCCTGAGTCTGAGCATAGACTCTTGCGGCGCTCTGCTGCGCCACTGGTTCGACGCTCTGAACTACGTGGACACCCGCCACGACCGCTGGCACCGACTTAGCAGCGGACGACCGGACCCGGAGACCACGTAGACGCTCCGCTCTGCCCCGCGCCAGTGACCGCCCACACCCCGTATTCCGTCGGAGCGCTCGGAGACCCGAGAGGTTCCGTGTCCCTCCGGTGGGCTTGGGAACCACTGGGATCCGGTGCTCAGCGGCTGGGCCCGGAAGTCGCAGGGACCTCGTGTTCAACGGTTAGGCCCGGAAGCTACGGGGTTGGGCCCAGAAGCCACCGCCCAATCCATTTGCGGTCCGAAGCCGGTAGCCATCCCACTGATATGCTCAGCGATAGCTGCCGACTGGGCCGGAGGGCTGACCTGGAGCACAGCAGCATCGGCGACCGCAGAACACCCATCAATGTTTCAGCTCTCAACAGGGACCACACCAGTGCTGTCCTGCCCTCTAATTCCACGGCGACATGACGTATTAAGTGGCTTTCTCTCGCTTTGCCAACTAGACGTAACCGACGCCAGTCGGGGCGCTGTGGACCAATATTTACAGTGTTATAGTCGTATGTCATGCATGTCTGCGTGGTACCTTCTACCCGCTGTCATATTGGCCAAGAAGGCAGCCTCGAGGTTGTTCGTGATGAATTTAACTATTTTTATACCGGCACCCAGCAACGTGATATCTGCATATAAACTTAGAATGATGTTCGGTGTTGAATTTCATGTTGAACGTGGGATACGCTGGAATATTGTTCATAACAACTAATCAATCATGTGTGTTCGTTTTGTTTACTCGTGCCAGGTTTTGTCGGAAGCCACCAGCAGGTGCCTGTGAATATACAGATGCCTGTGGGTCATGAATCATCGCCGGTAATTAACAAATATACTCGATGTTCCTGATATTTGTGTTATATCTCGGGAAGGCCCAGAGCAAGTAGTTTAAAATCTTCATAATTTCTCAGCAAATTTTGAGAAGCGTCGTGACAAAAATCGGAGTAAAGGCCACTCTGCACCAGTTTAAAACGGAGTGATACATATGTGCGAAGACAAACATGCCGATATTACGTGCTTAAGTGGTTTCTTAGTCAGTCCCATGTTCATACGGGCTTAGTTCTGGGTGTGGCTGCTTTATGAGAAATCAGCTCAACCTGCCTGATATCCCTTGTCCTAAGTCACGTGGGATTTATGAAACCGGGTGACTACCCATTGGGGACATAACAGAAGCACTTGTTTTATGGACTCCTCGCGAAATTGGCTCATAAATTCGCTGGGATCGTGCGATCCTGGGATAACTTTGGCTTCTCAGCCAACTCTACCAGTTAATTGGCTTAGAGAAGGAGGGAGGGGGGGGGGGTGAGAGTTAAATATCATCACGCTAAAGAAACCTGCCAATTGGGAAGTCACCAGAGCTTCCAATGGCAAATAGATCGTATTACATCATCGGGCCTTTCCCTACTCTCAAAAACTTTCAGCTCTGTACTTTCATTTCAACTGTGAGCTTTCGCTACCTAAGATACTATGCTGACCAAAAGATACATAAAAGCAACGAGCAACAGGGCAAAATGTGATGTTGTGTACCAGGACGGTATTGTCTGTTACACATTATTCGATGCTTTTCATGTATGCCAAGCTTCCGTTCCCGTTCATCTCCATTCCTCACTTGACCTCAGATGAAAGGATCACAGCAACGACTGGGGGACGACTGTATGTGCCAGCGACAAACCACACACCGCACGCCCACGTCACATTCGCAACACTGCTTGCGAGCGCGCCCGGTTGCTGCAGAAATCACCTTGTCATCGAAAGAGCGATGACCGGCAGGTGACACGTGGTGCGCCTCTGGCCGATGGCCCATGGGACATGTTTGTGCGCTGCATGACATCGGAAAGCCATCCGCCGAGTGGCTGGTACCTGACACTCTCATGCTCCTAGAAGGGGATTGATGCGTTACGTTATCCCGTTGCCCGGTGTCGATCACTTCAAATGCAACTGGAGCCACGATTTTTCACATATTTACCGATGCATAGCTGTTGTTGATCGCTGTTTCCCATGTGCAGCGGTGGCTTTCACACCGACTGGAGAACCGTATCGGTTTTTAAATATTTGCATTAGGTGGTCTGTTTTTAAGACAGGAAACTAGCTCTACCAAGGTGTGATAAACGGAAGTAAATAACTCGCCGTTAAAAATGTGCATACGAAGGACGATGATTTGAAAGAAATTTATGATATTGAAGTCATACATACAACTTTCCTCCCAATCGTTTGCTGAAAGGATCAGGCTTCCTAAGACGGGCGTATGGTTAGGATATAGGTTGGCAAATCATTTGCCATTGACGCGTTGGATTTAGGCTAGCTGTGTCATTTGCCGCACATACAAGAATGGGGCCCGACCAACCGACGAGAGTTAGCACAAGGAGCGGTCCTCGTGACTCAAAATGCATGCACTCACAATACTGGCATTTCCGAATACTTCCCTTATCCCCACTGACTGAAGGTATTGCAATACTTGACAATGCGGCAGTGGAATCGATACATGGAGCGATGATCAAATCGATATACCAGGCATTCGAAGCATCTGTTAAAACGCATCTAATAAAGTGTTTACACTTGTGCACTTCCATACACTATTTCCTCAGAGCGTCCCAATGTGCACTGCGTCCTGCCCGGGCTGTGCGGCGGATCTCTGAATGGTGAAGTCTGCGTCCTGCCCGGGCTGTGCGGCGGATCTCTGAATGGTGAAGTCTGCGCACACACATCGTGCCCAAATACAAAAATTCAAATACTTCGAAAAACAAAGTGGCAATTCATAAAACTCGAGTTTCCCCTGTAAAAAACAAATCACAGAATTAAAGCCCCTCCTCCAGATTTTCCTTATATGAGCCCTACACCCGCCCGCCGTCGGCGGCCACTGCCCAGACCCGGCTGCCCCCGCATAACCGACTGCGAACTGGTCGTACGACTGCTTTGCTGGATGTTTATGGATCAGCATCGCTACTTAATGATGTGCAGGGTATATACTGGGCACCTACCATAATATGTATTTCCGGATCATCCTTCCTTACGCCAAAACACAGCAGGAAATAAGCTCTCGGGAAGCTGCCTGTCATAGGCATAAATTGGTACAACGGGCATTCATTTGCCCCTCACTCAACGTAGTTGACTTAATCTGCTTGTGTACGCAGATTGGGGCCTAGTCAGAGCCTTGCCAAGGGGGCACCGGGTTAACAAAGGTCCCCCACCCCGATGGTTTGCCGCAAAAAAATCGCCGAATATAGCTCACTTGTTAACAACACTTGCCAAGGAGGGGGTGGGACACAGGGTTGACAAAGGCTCCTTGCCAGTTAAAAGCCGCCCCACAACAAAAACTGCTGGACATAAGTCGTTTGGTAACGAGGGCCACGGTTTTTTCATGTCATGGTTATTTTTGCCCTCTAACCAGAACAGAAACTGAAATGAAAGGCAACTGCGAGTTGAACTTAAGTTGCATTTGGAAGTCAGTACATTGTAAAATTCATGAGTTTAACGACAACATGGCCAAATCAACGGCGCTCTTCATTTTAAAAAGGTTCAGTTGACTCTTTTTAAACCGATAGCACTCAGAGGCTTTGTCTGATTTTTGCTGTGTTCTTCAGTGATATTGAGGACCTCCTGAACGTAGATTGTAGGTCGAAATGAAGTCCAAAATTTGCATTGCATGGCTAGCACATGTTTGGCTTAAAACGTTTAACATCCAGTCAGAATTGATGATTCAGAAAAAAAAATGCAACATGGTTTTGAACACACGCGCTCGCAATTCTTAGAGACAACCTTGACGCCCGGCGTTGCAGTCTCCATAGGCCAAGCAATCTGCCCCGTAGCTGCGCTAAACGGTGGACATTGGGCCAATGGGCTAATAGTAATCAAAACCCCGCGGTCGGCATGTCCATTTGCTTTAAATGTCTTTTTTCCTTGCTTTGCTCTGCAAAACAAAGAGCTTTTACAACGGACGCGCGTGTTGTGGCACTTTCCCACGTTGTGGCTCTTACAAGTGGGCTTTAGATGCGGCAAAGGGATATAAACTACGGCACATGTCCGGTAAATATATCTTCGGAAAGTCGAATGAATTTGCTTTCCCGTCTGTTTTTTATCATGGAATGATGCTGAACATTTTCAGTGGCGAATCTAATAGTTCTGAGCAGGTGCCTAGTAGTAGGTAGACTTCTTCAAATCTTGCGGTTCGTAGCTGAGACTTGTGGAAGCCATGTTCCAGTAGACTGAGAAGCTTTCAGAAGTAGTTTCTGTTCCAGAAGCCTTCAGAAGCAGAAGTGTACAAGCCTTGACCCGTTTTGCATTGCATTTTTAGGCAGCAAAAAGTAATGGTATGGTGGAAAGCCAAGTACTTATATAATCACGCAGTGTTCAAGGCCAAGCACAAGAAGTGATGCATCTACCACCAAACTTTAGGAAAATTTACTTTGTAATGGTAAAAATGCACACCGAAGTTGCACGCGACGAAGTTATGGAATGTCATACAGTGCCTACTACGCTTTGTCATGATGGTTGCGAGGGACAAGTTTCATTACAATACATGATCGAATATCTTTCGTCAAACGCTCTGTAACACCCAATGCCTTTTTATTCAAACAATGTTCATATGAGTCATTCCCTATCATTCAGTCCTGCAGCAGCGTGGTCGTCCAAACCCTGCCTAAGGAGCCCGCGGCGCCGGCCCCGGACGTCGCCACTTGTTACGTCATGCCTTGTTCGCCCACGCGCACGCCAGCGATCCGTCCGCTTGAGATTCGCTGGTCGTTCGCAGTCGGCAAAACAGCGAGATGGCAACAACAAACGTCACCGGCTCTGCGTGCCCCGGGGAACACAAAAACAGCGCTCGGGCTGAGCCCAGCGACGCATCAACTGCCCGTGACTGTGGTATATTTACGGCGCCTCGGGGAGCACAGGAATGGCACGCACATTGGCGGTTTTGAGACATCAGTAGCCCGCGCCAGTGCTCCATTGCTTTCCGGTGATCTTGACGCATGTTGTGACGTGTTGACGTATTGGCAGCTCTCAAAGCAGGGTGGTGCCGAGCTGTCGTCATCACCGCCGCCACCGCTCCGACCGGCCGCTGCGGATGTCGCGCACCGGCGCTCTTCTACACGCGTGAACGTGCACAGTCCGAGGTCGGATGAGCTCTGTGGCCGGCCAATCGCTCCGAGCCGTGTTCTGAAGACAGCAGATTCAAACGGACGGATTAGGAGGACGAAGCAGCGACCATGCGCTCCAGGTGTCGCGGCGAGACTACTTGAGATGAAGCTGTTGACAAATGCAAATTGATCTGCAAGGTAGGCGCATGCTTCGTTGAAGCGACAAACGTATTTGACCACTCGTCGGCGTTTTAGCGAAGCCACCATGTCGGGAGCACCCCCCAGCAACCGATGTTACGTATCACAACATAGTGACCCTCGCCAACTCCCGCCTGGACCACGCTGGGAGTCTGCCCGTGGCCGACCGGGTGGACAGGAGCATCCCTAGCTTCTATGGATGGCTCAATCGGCCCTCCGTGGATCTGTCGGCTGATATTTTCGTTCAGCGCTGCTGACCGAGCTGTGCCCCCCCCCCCCCCCCACACATTCGCCAGGGTCATGTGCGTCGCAGATCACGTCCGAGGCCCTTCGGGCGCGCAGATCTGGGCTGCGTCTCACGTCACCTGCAATTTGGCCGGCCTGTCGTCACGTGCGGCTATTACCGGACCACATTTTATCGTGCGGCCGAGCCGGCAGCCTCGCTTGCCCCGGCCAGATACTCGTGGAGGCTCGCGCCGGTGGCCACGGGCTCAGATGCGTGGCATCAGAATGTCAGATGCGTGGAGGCTCCACATGTGGACGCTGTTGACCGCGGCCA